ATCACACTCTACAGACCTTTTCACAACCAAGCAGATTTACTTGCCAAACAAGAAACTACAAAACAAATTCTCAAAATTAATAACTCAAAATTTAATACTTCAAACCATTTCATATAGAATAACTATCTAATCCCTATCAAAATTCACACCTTTATCAAAAACTCTATAACTATTCAAGAAATTGTTAAATGGTCAAACTTAAAATTCTTTCAAAATATTACAAATATTAAATAGTTATTAAAATTTAAAATCATCTTTTTTTTTAAAAATAATTTACAAAAATACTCCTTTCATATCAAAATTCTCACTAATAATCTATCTACTATACAATATCTTAATATCTGTTACCCATATCTCTATACTACTCCAAACTGCTCTTGCTATATAAATACTGAAGATACTCTTTATTTATTTTTATACCCTAGCAATACTACAAATATTCTACAATCAATCAAAAATACAATATAAGATACTCTAATATTACTAAAAATTACCAATATAATCTCAACAACCTTATTAAACATTCTTTTAAATTTCACACTTAATACACCAAATCCTCAACTCAAACATATCTTACATATTATTACAGAGACCTTCTCTTCTACTATTTATGAAAATATCAAAACACTTATTAACAAACAAACTGATGTACTTCTACTTCAGCTTTCAAATGATCTATTAAACTAGTTTTATCAAGATCTCTGGTCTACTCGCAACACATATCATCATCAATAGGAAATATCTTGAAACATTACATCAAAATCTAAACATACTAAAATTTACTTATCAACATCACCAAATCCTTCAAACAATACAACAATCTCTTCTCAAACTATAAATTTTAATTCTTTTATCATCAAATAGCTTATACAAGGTTTTTTACTAACTTCTTGTATTTAATAATGTTTAGACAATCACTTAAAGGTCTCCTCCAACCTATACTAGCTAAAACCTAATTTGAAATAGTTAGCTATAGCATTCACAGGAAATAGGAGGTGTAATGTCACATTGGGTACCAATTTGTAGCACAAATGTAGTTTAGAAATCTTTAATTTTAGAACTTATGATTCTATATGTAAAAAGTTTCTACTTGAACATTATATAAATAAATAAAAAAAAAAAAAAAAAAAAACTAAAACAAATCTAAACTAATTCTATTTATAAATACAGCTTAAAGTCTTAAATTAATAAATAGAGAAAATCTCAAAACAATATTAAAACAAAAAACTATTACTATTTTGGATTATAAAGTCTATCTTAATGTTTTTTAAAAAGAAACTTTTGATCTTTCACAATTAATAAACTTAAAAGCTTTTTTAAAAGACTAGCAAACAGAAATCTCTTATTTAAAGACAAAATCCTTTTAGCAAACTACTTAATTTTGTTTCAAATTTGGTATATAGCATATCTATTTCTTCTAAGCAAAAAACATACCACAAAAATCAATAGTATAATATTTCTGTAAATTAAAAATAAATTTAAAATACTTTTAAGATTCACAGTATTTCAACAAACACATAATGCTGCAAAGCTGCAAGTTTCAATAATAGGAGAAATGCTTGAGACATGACTACTTTTAATATGACTAAAGCTATTTTCAAAAATTATTTTTAAACTAAACTAGAAAAAAAAAAATAAATAAAGCATTAAAGTTTAAAAAAAATATATCAATATATATTGCCTTAAATACTGAGATTATTAGAACCAAAGCTTGATCCAAAGAATAGAAACTCTATCTGCTTACTTAAAAAAGAACTTATAATGAAATAAATATCTCCTTCAACTGGCTATAAAGCAAAGAAGATCTATGTCTAAATAACTTCAAAGCAAATAAATTCTTAGTCAAGAAGATTTTAAACTTTTAGAAAACTTCATGTTTATTGCCCAGTTTCAAACATTCTTAATAAACAATAACTGGCTTTTTGTTATATCAAAAAAAACAAAAAAATAAATACATTCTAGAAAACATATTACAAAGCACTACTTTTAGGTTATTGTCTAAAATATATAAACTTTTCAATCAATGAAAGTTACTCATAGTGTTCAGAAAAACAACAAATAATAGACCACTTTGTCATTCATTATAAGACTAGCAAAAAGGTCTGAAATAAAGCATATACTTTTTTACAAACAGGTATACAAGAAACACCTTCTTTCTCAATTAAAAAAATATTTAATACTAACTACATTAAAGATCAACACTACTTATAAGTAATCTTTTAGTTGCATATTAATATGATATATAAAATTTGGTATTATTATATATTAGCAAGATGAGAAAACAATATATATATATTTACAATAATTTTTTCTATAGTAGCTAAGTGTTTGGCTAATGAAATTAGAATATTGTTCAAAAATATCAATAATAATTTAAAAATAACTAAGCTTTTTAAATGCTTAAAAAAACTGTAAATATTTATATATATTAGTAATAATTAATAATAAAAGATGTCATCTACATTTTTAAGCAATTAGTTTAAAAAAAAAACTCTAATTTTGATATTAATATAAGTATTATATATATTTATATCTTTTATTTTTAATTTTTGTATTCTTTACTATCTTTTTTAATATTCTTAACTAACAACCCTTACAACCTTGTCTGTACTTCATTTATTAATCAATTTCCTATTGAGATTTCTATTCAATGTTTCATTTGTACTATTTATCAAGCTCATATTATAATACTTTAAATATCTTAATATCATTTTTAACAATAGTTTATCATTGCATCTAATATCAACTAAGAAGTCATTTAGCTTTATATTAATAATAATCAAAAGATTTCTAACTTTACTCATAGTTTCTACTTCTTTATTCTAAAAACCTTTTATGTTAAAATTTTTTTGAATAAACTACCTATTTCTTATACTCTTTACAAACATAACTCCTCTTACTTTGCTTTCTGTTACTAATATAATTAAACTAGCTCTTTATTATACAGAATATTTGTTTTTTTATTCAATTAATTTATTACTTAATCTTTAATTTTCTTAATTGTATCTTAAATACTACTGCTCTTAACATATTCACCAACCTTGTTTTTAATTTATATCAAAAAATTCTTGTACTTAATAACTTTAAATTGTACAACTCTTCATATATGGCATCTCTTATTTGGTCTAATTCATATTGACTTTATTTCTATTATTTATAATACTTCTATTTCTTATTATACAACTATTTCTCTTTCTATTAAATTTTTTCTTCATTTAAATCAACAAATATATAAACAAATATGGATTCTATATTGTATTTCACATTTTGTACAGTCTTAAACTATACTTACTACAAATTTAATTCATAGTTCTTCTTTTAGTTTACTCTTATCCTCTATCTTAATACTACCAATTATTACCAAAATTGACTTTTGAACTATTTAATGAATTAAATATTATATCCCTTTCTTTTATATTATTACTAATATCCAAATCTAGATAAACCTTGACTACTCTTGTAGATTTAGATTGCAATTTATTTGTCTGAATCTTTATTCTTCATATGTAATTTAAAAACAAGTTTTTTTTGTAAAAACTTCAATTGAATTTCAATAAAATTAAAAACATAACCTCATTGTTAATATTTAAAAAAAAAAAATTTGTATTCTCTATTAAACAAGTAAACTCTTTAGTATTTTTTAAGTAAAATTATTATTTTTTTGCTAGTTCTAATAATAAAATTATTAAAATTAAATTAATAATTCTTACTTATAATTAACTAAAATTTATTAAATTCAAATACGAATAACTCAAAAATTTCCAAATAAATTTTAATAATTTTACTATTATTTAAATTAAAAAAATCCAAGAAACAAATTTGCTTAAGAATACTAAAGGATTACTTATTAACAATATCTGGTTTAATTCATTTTTTGTTTACTTAAGAATACGAATATCAATCAGAAATAAATGAGTGGCCGTCAGAGAAAACCTACATGTGCTTTATGAATATTTATTTTTAATAAACATATCTTAAAATTAACTTAGTACCTACCATTCTCATTAAAATGATTCGAATGATATTAAAATTCATAGGTATTAAATTGCCTGATTTTAAGATATTTTTATTAAAAGCAAATATTCAAAAAGTACTTGTAGATTTCCTTCAAATATCAATTCCCCAAATCAACCTCGTTGCTATTATAGTATAACCTAATGATGCATCAGGAATTTACAACCATCGTAATCCTGGCTACTATTAATTTTAAATCTTGCTGGATCGTAAAACCGGCCGACAGCATATAATTCTGGCCAGATCATAGAATTGGGTTACAATTTTACATTACATATAATTTTACATAAATTTCAGAAATCCATGTAATTTTCACACATCGTACCAGATTTACAAGAGTTCAGGCTGTATTATTGCATCATTTGATTTGAATTATGCTCTGAATTGTAACCGAAAATTTGATCTCAGAAACGATGTGTCATATGTGCTCAAAATTACTTACCACGTAAATTAGTAAAATTACATCCCTAACAGTAACTCTCCAAAAAATTAACTTATTATAAACTTTATTAATAAAAATTCATGACTTCGTTTTTTTTTTTTTTTTTACCAAATTTTTAACAGTTACGACAAATTAACTTTACATGACCTAACAGTAGCGATTTATTAGAATCCGTTTATCTTGATAACGAATAAATGAAGCTAGTAAAGTAGATCTCATTTCCCTATCAGCATTAATCTTTTCTCAATATATATATTTTTTCCTAGGATAAGACGAATGTTATGATAAAGGACAATTTTTAAAGTTTTATTGTTACATTTCCTTCAACTATATATATATTAATGCTTAATAGGATATCTATAAATATATGTATCAAGATATATAGTCTGAATATTCGTTCATGCAAATATTTGTACAAAATTTTTTCTTATTGCTTTCTTTAAGTATACCACATGTTAGTATCTAAAGTAACCCATAATGTCCAATGTTAACAGAGAATTTTCATTGTTGTTGAGAAATAGAAATATATAGGCAGGTTAAAACCTCAATGCTCTATATTTTCCATATCAATGTCCACAACTGACGACATGATGCTTCCAAAATTCTCAGAGATAACAGATCCAATTTCCGACCATGTTTCTTCCGTAGGAACAGATTTTAATAAGGAAGGTGACTGATTAGGAAGTACATCTGATCTCATCAATTGTTGTTGAGGTTGTTCTGACTCTTGAATCGGGTTGTGTGGATTTTGTTTAGAAGAAATGGTCGAATTAGAAGCTACCAAATAAGAATCAGGAATTAAGAATGTGGGGTTAATTTCTGACATTTGTTGTTGCAAGCTGATGTGTGACAAGTCTTGTGTAAGGATTGCGTGAGCGATTGAATCAGATAGAGAATTGTGTTTTTCGCTCACAGAACTAGTAGTTTTAACAGTGGGTGGGGCAGAGTTCAAAGAATTAACATCTGGATTTCCAATTATCAATGGCTGATCATCATCTACGGTAGAAGTAGAGATCGTAGAATGATTAGAGTGTGTGACACCAATCGGCGAATTTATACTCTGCCATAAGTCAGAGTGTGAGCTTGAGCGACTAGAACGAGTAGAATGTGACAAATTTTGTCTTCTCTTTTCGACCTCACGTTCTCTTTCACTAAGGATGCGTTCTTCGTTTGCTAGTTGTAGTTTTTTGCGTTCTATTTCTTGCTCAACTGCGTTCAAATATGATAGCCTGTCCAGCAGTTCTTGTTCATCATCACTCTAATAAAATGAAAATATTATTATTAAATACAAGGACATTGAATCAAGTTACTACAACAAACTCACATGACTTTTATTGCTTAAATTTCTTCGGCTTTTGCCTTTTGATCTTCTCCTTCTCCTAATACCAGATTTCTCCTCAGAGCCAACAATAGACAAGCTCTCATCGTCACTACTCTGGTAACCGTTTGTTTGGCCACTACGCCATTTGGTATCTCTATCAGTATTTGGTCCGTCATTGAAAACAAATTGTGGCACTTCCGTAAACTCTTTGTAAAGAATATATGCAGTATAGCAAACAACGGCGCCACCGACAATTAAGCTTGCAACAAAGTAAGGGTGCATCATATTGTCAAGAATGTTGTTTTACACTATTTGCAGATGAAAAAAGAAAAATATATATAAAAACAAAAGACGGAGGAAGGCAAAAAAAATACGTTAACGTTAATGAAAGTGCAAATGTGCAAATTGATATTGTTGAAACAATTTTACAAGCCTCAAGTTGTGTTGATCTCGTGCCCGAAAAAAATGTCCGTAACTGATCAGATTGCCTTATATAAAGCGAGGATAAATCACGTGCCACGAAACCAATCAGAAGATCAATCTATTTATATAAATTGGTCACATGATTTAGCACCACTTGCCTCAGATGTCGATCGGCCTAAGTTAGATTAGGGTTAGGCTAAAAGTTTGGGGAGGATTGGGGTATAATTTAGGCCAATCATGTCGATCAGTTAATGCTGGCAAGACAACAAGAGACGTACATCTTAATACATATAAATAAATCAGGCTACCCGAATGGATTGTTTTGGCAGAATTATGACTTTAGGGTTAGGGTTAGAATTAAGGTTTATAATAAAAAATTTTTAATTTTGACAAGTATAATTCGGGTACATATATATAAATCACAACAAAAAAAAAAAATTCAAAGAACGATTTATATTGCAGATATGGCATGTCCAACTTCGTTCTTTAACATACGTTAGATAATATGTGAGAATACAGGGAGGTCACCAGATTTTTGGGCCGGAATACCTTGGAATTATGGTAGGCAGAGCCGGAATCAACTAATTTTGCCAAGATCGCTAAAAGTTTTACTAATAAAGTCATAGCCTGTGCTGCTCGCTGTAGAGATGGTCAAGGTAATTACTTATTACGTAAATAGTTAAATCACACTACGCGACAATTTAGCATGTTATTAGTTGTAAGTATATTATTAGTAAATTGTCGCAAAATGTGTGATTTAATTTTTTACATAATAAGTAACTATCTTGTCCATCTCTACCCAGCTGATTATTTTGGCCCAGAAATCGTTGACTTGTATTGCTAAATGCCTGTAAAATTCATGTAAGAGGAGATAGACATTGAAAAACAATTAGAGATCCTATTTGCTACATAAATAATACAAATGTGAATTTGATTAAATCTTAAAAATAGAATAAAACAATTACTTTTATTTATGCAAAGGAATTCTTAAAAATGTTACCAATTACAATATCATATTTTATATAAAATGCTATATGTTGAAAATATTACAATGGTTAACTATTATACGCAGTGATTAATGAATTCTCGTTAACTCTTCAACTATTTTTAATAGCTCATCTACTTTCATCTCACATTCTTCAGCAATTTGCACCATTTCACTTCGGGATCTGTCAAGGAAAGATTCAATTAGATCGCCATCGATAAATCCTCGGGCCTCGTAAAGCTTATTCCCTTTTTTCATACTGCGCCATCTAAACCGAATACGTTCAATGAATTATAAGACAATTTTCTTTTAATAATAAAATAAATGAATAAACGTACTCTTTGTGACTTAAATCACCAATACTGCCGATAACTTTATCTATGCTTTCTTCTAATTTTTTCAAGAATTTAAATTTTTGTTCTGGTATAGATGCGATAACACCAATAGCTCCAGATGATGTACAGTATAACAATTCCGAAGAAATCCCTACTGGCTCTGTTTCTGAAACATTCATCGCCAAAGAACCTAAAAGTTGTGAAATCGGTTAATTAATGATCAATGTGACAGTATTTCAATGACAGACAAACATATGTTTATTTAACCATGACGTATTTGATTAACTGAATCGCCGAGGTGAAAGAATCCATTTGTTTCCAACTTCCTCCTCTCATCTTCATCTGCTGTATCATCATTTTTTCGAAATGTGATTAAATCATAATTTGTATCACTAGCGATAAATTCATCATCGTCAAAAGCCTCGACAGAAGAAATCCAACGAGGGTTATTATCTTTAGCGATAACTTCGAGAGATTTGTTGTCTTTATCTGATTCTTTGTATGCTAACAGACTAATAGATCTAAACAGATCACCAACTAAAATGAAATGTCCTCGTGAGACAACACGAAGCGCCAATGAAAAATCTTTATTATTACAAAGAGGTATTAATTCTGTACTTCCATCTTCAGAAGCTTTCCATTCAAAAACTGTGACCTATGATTAAAACGTTAACGAAATGAATATCAAGAGAATTCGAATTGAATAACATTATATTAGTGTGTTATTAATAATACCGTTCCATTAACGGAGGCCAATAACTTTCCATAAAACGGTCCGCATGAATATATTGCACCTCTCATTTCTTTTTGGAGAATCAACCGCAATTTGCAAACAAATTCGTTTCTTTCTACTTGGAAAACTAATATTCGACCTTTACTAGCATTAGCTTCCCCTTGAATAGTGAATGAAGTTCCAACTACATAGTATTCGGGAGAATCTTCTTTCATATCGAATTTTACTGAAGTCAAGGAATGAACATCTTCATTGGATTGCATTTCAAATGAGTCGTAAACTAAGATCAAGGCGTAAAATTGATAAGCAGTAAAAATAAAATATAGTTGTTATCAACCGCATTAAAGTCTAAAACCAAATTTATTTAACTTACATTCAAACGTTTGATCGTCTAATATTTTGAAATACCTTAAATTTTCTTCATCATCATTCAAATTGAGTCTTATAGTTAGTATTCCAAGTGTATGCGTGCTTTCTTGGTGGCATATACGACGGGGCATTTCATTTAATAGTATTGTTCGAATGTGAAGTTTTTGTATCTCATCAATACTGCCTATTGTCAATCCTCCTTCATGTGTGATTACCAAGGAGGTCGCCATGGATGCCGGCTTGAACGGACACATATATGTAACGTCCTATTAACAAGAAAGCCAAAGGACTGTTGGTATTTATACTATTCACACTTTCGTAAAATATATCAGCTTTTAAATAAGCAAATACCTTTGTGTTGACATTAGAATATAGTAATTTTTTATTACTGCTGTAAATAACTGTTGGTCTATCTGACGCAGCAAAAACATGACTCAATCCATTAGAAGTAAAAGAAGTAAGCATAACGGGCTGAGTTCCAAGTGATAGTTGTTTTCGCTCTGATAATCGACCAGTTGTTGGATCAAGGATAAAATGGAACAATTGCCCGTCACCTAACGCCGCCAAAAGGTAATGATTGTTCTCGAACGTGGACAATAGCACAGAACGGGTCATGGAAACACCTTCAAGGGGTTGATCTGCGATTATCTCTAATGATGGTAATCTTAACACTTGCACGCCAACCACTGTCCAAAGCCCTACGGCGACAATTGATGAACTTTCTGGTTGTATAGGATCTAGTGGATTGATGCTCATACATGCTATTTCATATTGCAATTTCCTCTGACTACGTAATATTTGAGTTCATAATTAATTTTGTAACAGATACGAGAATAAATTTGATATAGACCTACTTTATTTCAACGAGTTCTATTCCTTGCACCTGAAAATAGATCAACGTTCCACCACTAATCGCTATTACAACTTGACTGGGATTAATATCAGCAACAGTGATCTTACTATTATGAGGAGGGTCCCATTGAGAAATCAGTCTTCGGTTGTCTAAATCGATGAGTCTCACTTGATGTTGAGTAACCTATAATGCAAATATAAATTACGTTCTATTGAAATTTATTTAAAGGAAACAATTTGTATCAAACATTAGCTTACTTGTACAAGTAAATTTCCTACAACATTTCGCGTCGCAATGGTTGATTGACTCATATCAAAGCCAGCATATTCATCAACCTCTTGCAACTCTTCTCCTTCCTCTAATCTTAGCACTCGTGTCTCACCAATGAGTGATATTACCAAAGTGTCATCGCAACTGTGAAATTATTCTTCAATTTTTATATCTTTTTTTCATCACAAAGATACAATGATACAAGTAACACTTACGGAGAATCGTAATATGGACGTAAAGACCATACACCCGTAATGCCAGGCATTTCCATCACTGCTTGTTCAGTAATTCCCACACCATTACGAATGATTCGCAAAGAACCATCTTTAGTGCCACCAGAGCATGTAATTATATGCCCCTATGAGAGGTAACAATCAATTTATGCCAGATTACAGAAAATTACTTGTGTGAATGATGCAAACCTGTCCTTGTCGCTCCAGATTTACTACACAAAAATCTACTATGGGTGATAAGTTAATGAATGTGTCAAGTACATCTAATAAGACGCCCTGTTCATTCGGTGTTTGACGCAACCTAATTAATTGCGAATCGCCGAAATGTGATCCAACAAAAACGTAACTATGATCAAGATATAGAAGACACTGTGGCACTGAGATCTTGTATAAAAATCGCGATAAGGTTAACATTCGTTCATAATTAATAAGCATAAGCATAAAGCAACATAATAACAACAATAATAATAATAACCTTTCCCAGAGTATGCGTATATAAGTCACCAATATCAGGAATTATAAGCAGATAAAGTGTTCCGAAGATATCACCTAGCAAATACCTAGATCCGTCGTCATCTACAGCAGCAACCCTAAACGATATGATACACTAAAATCAGTTATTTTATCTATGGACCACTATATATTGTTCAAAATTATTTACATAAATTACCCTCTCATTGCCGTTTTATATTTCAAATGTATTGTTCGAGATTTGAAATCATTATCGTAATATGTAATATGCTTTGACGCAACTACCAAAAAGCCGCCTAAAAAAGTTGACATTTTATTGATCGTAAATAATGTGATACTACGAAAAACTATCTTTACCGTCCAGTTCATATTTGGGTAATGCCAAGGGAAAACCAAACTTCGGGCATTCAAGTTTATTAACAGATTCAGCCCTGACTGACGACATATATGATACATAATTAAATTTACTTATACATAATATATGTCTCTGATCAGGACTGGATTCGGTAAATAATAAATAATAAACTTAAAAGCCCGATATCTGGTTTCCCTTGGTCACTCATTTATAAATTCACAAAATTTTTGTTCACTCATTATCCGGGCACCGGAAAGGATAACAAAAATTGTATAAGTAATATTAAATCAGACAATGAAAATTTTATTACACCATTCGTGAGCAATAACTTATGCATTCACTAACCTTTTGGAACTGCAATCAAAAATTCTGTGGTTTCATCAAGGTCTTCCTTGAATAATGGACCGGGAGCAAATTCTTTTTCTTTAATCTTTACAAAATATATCTTTATAGACACGTGCTTATGTACATCAGCGTACAGAATTGCAAGTGTGGGTATCACTGAGTTATATAAAAAGACCATCGAGAGTATCTTCAGTTCCTGTAGGCTTTACAATATAAATTCATTGAAATCTTGTCATATGATGGTGTATTTAGACATCATGGTAAAAAAAATAAAATTAAATAAAATAAAAAGAAGTTGGGAAACCTTATATTAAAAGATTTATTTAGATTTCCAGCTGGTGCATTCCGTAGCTCTCTTCGGATTGGGAAGGTATTAGGAGCGGCTCTATTCTTTCCATTATCAATCGTTACTATCGGTATTACAGTAAATATACCTTGATACGCGATCAACCCAATTAACCGACAATACGGATCTAATGCACACATCATTCCTGTATGTGGGACTTGCCCACCTCGAAGTTCCATATTTCCTTTTGTTTCAGTAATTAATTGATGCTGCCTTTCATCATATGAAATGACAAAATATTGTTGCTGTTCTGTAGCTACGAAGAGAAGATCTGTATCACGGCCCTACAAATATAATCATTCATTATTGAATAAATAAAAATGTAGATTAAACTCTGTATCGCGCCAACTTTATTAAACTATTAGGGGACAGCACACACCCGTGGTCTATAGACTTGCATCGCCGCAATTCTACCATAAACCGGAACATCCTTGAAGGATTTTAATCCCCCAGGCACGAGAGTATAGATTTCTATACGTGAAAATTTGCTTCGAGAGTGATAAAAACACGAACCGAATAAGAGACTTGCAAATGCAAATAAATTCGATGTTTATACTGAGTATAACTTACTTGAGAACCAGATTTGTCTCATCGGGAGATGATATGCTGCCTCTTGTCGCAGATACTACGGAGCTTGGTTTATGAGCTGTTACCACGTAATTGTACATTGTAATGAATGGTAAAAATTTAAATTTATATTTTTTGGTCTCGAACGCTGATTTATTTATAGATAACAAGATGATCACGTGCCAAAAATCACAGATTAAAAGCAATTTTCTATTTTGATCGAAATATCTGATTAAAGATTGAGGCTGTAATTAAACCATTCCTATGTAGGGATTGCATTAAAAGGAAATTATCATAACCCGGCCGGATCAAATTTTTTACAGTTCTCAAATTTTGGAACAATTTACTATTTCCACCATGCATGTAAATCACTTCAATTTTATCACATTATTAAATTAACAAATTAGATCGAAGATATCTTAACAACTAATTGATCAAATTCGATAAAAAATTTTTATTTAAATTCTTCAGAACTGTAAAATTCAATAAAAAGTTTTCATCGAATTGGTTCATTGAGTGCTGAGATATTTTTGAGCAAAGTTGTGTAAACGATTTTGGCGCAGTTAGAGGTTGGAACCCATTTTAAAAATTCGAATTTGTCACATGAAAATTCGAGTTTATCACGTCAAAATTCGAGTTTATCACATTAATCATTAATGATTTATGTGATAAACTCGAATTTTTAAAACTGGTTGCACAGTTTATATAAAATTCAATAAAAATTTTTTTTCACTTGAATTCTACAGTTTTGTAAAATTTAAACAAAAAATTTTTATCAAATTTGATTAATTAGTTGCTAAGATATTTTTGATCTGAATTTTTAAAATTTGCTAAGTTAATAATATGATAAATTAGAGTAATTTACATGTATAATAAATATAGTAAAATATTTATAATAAAAATAGAAGATTTGGGAGGTGTGACGACCTAGTGAAGTGGATAGGTTGTCAACCTCCAAGTGGCAAGTCTAGAGTTCAAATCTCAGTAATGGTAAAAATTTGCAATTCTTTTTATGTTATAGCTAACTGTCTTCTGTGATTGGTTGGGATAGGATACCTGTAACCCGTATCATACCAGCATGACTAGAAGGTCTAAGGCACTCATACAATGTTGTATGAGGGAACACAAACTGGTACCAGGTGGTGTGAACCCAAGATAAGTCCTTAGGCCTTGTAAATCAAGGGAACCAGGTAGAAAGATGAAAGTTCACTTGGAAGACCCAAATAGAAAGGTAACCCAAACTTTTGATGGTGTTACTGTAAAGACTAGATTTATGAAACAGAGTTAGAACTTGTGAAACCAGGTAAATGTGCTAGTCTTTGAAGAGAGATTGGATAAACCAACCCAGCCGTTGGAATTTCTGGGTTCTAGAGAAAAAGGTCACAAGTCGACAAACATGTGAACCAAAGATGTATAGTTTCGACCTACCTTTCCAGGCTATCTAGAATAGCAGCTTGGTGGAACTTGAATAGAATACCAAAGTAGTAAGGATATGTTGTGAAGTTAGTACCAGAGTTGGAATAAACTTTACAAAGACATAGCAGTTTAATAGTATGCCTTGACCGTCAATATTGGTCTTGGTCATAGCGATATCAGGTTAGCTGTAAGAATAGAATACAGAAGATTCTGGAAGGTTTAGTACAAGGTCAAAGGTTCTTCATGTGAGTGAACCATTTTAAAGACTTAGTGACCATGGCATATTTGAACCAGTATCGACCAGGGCATCTTAGTAGGTGTAGGTAGGTGGATGGATACAGGAACAAAATAGTTAAATAGGAAACCTACAAATGGGTTTTAAGTATAACAGCTAGTGTAGAACCTTTGGGCGGACTACTTAAATTAGACAATGATTAAAGTTATATGAGTGGCTAGTTATACACTCTTTTCATAGTTGCCCCCTGTGGTTATAATGTAACCATTAGCTGAATGTACTATCAATAAAATCCTGGATCACAAGTACTTACCTTAATATTTAAAAAAAAAAAAAAAATAGTAGATTTTTTTAAAATTTTGTTTTGTAAATAGTTTAGTTTTTTACAAATTACATTGTTATCTTTGAACTTTCAGTTTGAAAATATTGTATATGACAGATCAAACCACCCTCTTGTCATAAAATAATTATCAGTTATGCAGATATTTAAATAGTGCATATAATGTTTATTTTTTTATATATATCAATAAAGGTAATTGTTCTGTGATTTAATATGCATTATAAAAATATCCATATAATCTGACAAAGTGGTGGTTTGGCCTGTTGTATATAGTAATAAATTTTTTTAAAAGTTAAATAAAGAATAAATTTTAAAAATAAAGTGTGATGACTTAGTAAAGTGATCAGATTATCAATTCTCTAAGTGATAAATTGGGTGTTCTAATTCTATTAACATTAAAAATTAGATAATCATCTATATAATATTTGTATTACAGTAATTGTTACTAATAATTAAATTAGGATATCTGTAATAACAATCATATCAGCATGACTAGTAGATTATAAGATATCTGTATAACTTGTTATACAGAAAAATGCAAACTAACAAATCAGATAATGCAAACACTAGATAAGTTCTTATGATTATATAAATCCATTAAAATTAAATAACAAGAAGTTTATTCGAGAAAATCTGAATAAAAAGATAGTTAGATTTTTGATAATCCTATTGTAAAAACTAGTTTTATAAAATGGATACCAATATCAAAGTAGTCAAACAAGCAAAAACCTTTAAATAGAGGTATTACCAACCAGGCTATTAGAACAGACTAAAGTAAAAAAATATTAAATTAACTTAATATACTATAAACTGATTATAGTCTTACTAGATTATCTGAATTAGAAGTTTAATAAACAGACAGAGATATATTAAAGTATTTTAGATATATTATAAAATAAATACTAGAATTTATATAAACTCTATAAGAGCATAGCAGTTTAATGATTAGCTCTGATTGCAAGTATTGATTTTATTATAGTGATACTAGATTAGTTATAAAAATAAGTTCAAAAGACTTCAAAAGGTTTATCTTGAAAATAAAATAGTTCCAAAATTAAGATGATAATTTGAGTATTTGGATATAACCTAGTAAAGTTAACAGGTTTGTAGATTTAAAAAGTTTAAAGTAAAATATCTAAGCAGAAGTGTTAGATATAGCAATTGGTAAGAAATCTTTAGACAGACTTTTTAAATAAATAATATAGAAAAGTTATATGTGTAGCTAATTGTATGAACTCTTTCCAACGATCCCTCACACCAACTTTTTCAAAAAGACAGACCTATGAAAACTATATAGTTATTATATTAAATATAACAAAAC